CCCAGTCGCGTAGTAATGTTTTACACTTTGAAGGTGCAAAACGAATATGGCTACACGGCATTCAGGTTATCCAGAAATGGTTGCAACTTACCTGGATCTTCACTCAGTAGCACAATGTCGTCTGCGTACTCTAGATCAGAAAGTCTGCCAACTGGGAGCAAATGGATGCCACTATCCTCGCACGAGGATAGGCTGTTTCCATAACAAGACCTATAACAAAGTTAAATAGAAGAGGAGAGAGGGCAACCCTGAAGAACTCCGGAGAAAAAGTGCCGTAAGCCCGGAGTCGACTTCGGCGATTAGTAAAAAGCGATCGTAATGTTGAAATTAGCTTCTCGGGCACACCTTTCAGAAAAAGGCGGCGCCAGAGTTTCGGGCGGTCGAGTGAGTCCAAAGCCGCTTTAAGATCTAGGAGGGCTACCAACCAGGATCCTGTCGAAAAGTAAACGTTTGACCTTGACACAGCGCAATCCCGACGTCAGCAACACCGCGAGCTTCGGATGCCGAATAGCATGACACACGGAAAGCAAAGCGTGAGTATGAGGTTGGATCTGGAAAACGCAGCGAGATAATGGAAGTAGGGTCCTGTATGCGTGTTTCGGAGACAGCAAAGTTTCAAGGGCTTTAATTAAGGCAGCTTGTTGATCGATTTAATAGTGTGCGGGCATTAAATGCGGCCAAGTGAAAAGGATATTTTGGATTCAGTAATCTGACTAGTTGACCTCATCGGTTGAATGCTGAATGGTATCCCATCGGGGGCTCAAACAGGATGCATCTCCTAAGATTTCGAAGTGAGAATAGGAAGCGGGCAGATGAGAAAGATGGATTTCCAAATGGGTACCTAAGACTTTGGAGCACGACATAATTCGCAGTAGCCCACATCGACGAAGAGTTTTTTCTTTGAGAATCGTACCCAAAGCCTGCGACTCAAAAGTCTGACCCACAAAGCAGTGGGGGGGGAAGGAGGTAGGTTATACGTAGGGGCATGATCGAAGCATCCGTGAGGGAGCTTCTAGAGACTTGGCACGCAAGGCCTTTGAATTTCGGTTCAATGTGTTGCTCGCTGGTGCTTTGGTTGACAGTCTGCTTTTCGGGATTGGCCCTTAACCGGGACGTGGACAGGACAGCACTTTACTGACTGGGGTTGTCCAGTGAAGTGCGAAGACTCCTCCCATCGTCAGGAGGAAACCCTCAGGCACCCCGGCCTAACGCGAAGGCTTTTACCGGTAAACTGCTCTTAGTGTTTTTTTCTGGAGTCACCTCTCCATGGGCGTTAGTGCATAGACAAAGGAAACTAGGTGTCCAAGCGACGGACCTTGTGAGACTGATCTTCGTCTGCCCTCTACCCATTGACCTTTCAGTGACGATTGGATCTGTGGCTGTGAGGAGGAATTCTGTTCGCAGGATCACAGAGGTACGCAATGTCAAGGTGCAGTCTTGGTAGAATGATTCCACAGAAGTGTCCACCGGTAGATCTTGCTTTACTAAGATTATTATCCGAACGATAGAAACAAAGCCTTTGTTTAAACATAAATGTTCACATTACAGCGATCAATCAATCAAGTTTAATGTAGGTATTTCTAAAAAAGAACGACACATTTCTCCATCTGCGAGGCTTATCAGTAGGAAAGGTTATTCTAAATCACCTAGTGTGTTGTGTCAGTTCGTTTTAAGAATCAGAGTCAGAAGAAAAACATAGTTGATAGTGAGCATTAAACAGAGTGGTATCCACAATTTTTAAAAAATGCCGAGCTGTACTCTTAAAATTTGACCGTAAGTTATTCGCTGAGCTCGGTTATTATTGTGCGATCGGAAAGGAGCCTCGGATGCGTAAATACTTATCCCCTGCAACGAACACGACGGTTTTTCTCCCACCGTTAAGTTTATCAAGACGATAGTATAGACGAGGGTTCTTACGACACGAATGACACTACCGCTGCCGTGTGAACTACAGTCGATGATAAGTGAGTCACCACTGGAAAACGAAATCGGATGATGGGAGGAAAGGAATAAACCGTTAGTAGTATTCAAACAATGTGATTATTATTATCACTGCCGGATTTTGAGGATCATTTATATTTAATAGAATCATTAATGAAGTCCACAACGATACCTCTCAAAATGGCAAATAAAATGTCCGGACATGAGCATTCAGCCAAAGAGGTGAAAACGAAAATCATAAGAGGTAAAAAGGAAATAGAGATAACCAAAACATCAGTGTTAAACTGATAAAAAACGGGGAGTAATATCCTAAAGGAAGTGAATGCGGACATTTAGGTTAGTTGGCAAATTGGATAATTTTATCCAACTTAACACGTAATCAATGTATGTATCACAATCAGCTTGTACGGAAGTTATACGGTTCGCGCAACAGCCAATAACATGGCGGGTGTCAATAGCATATCTACAACTTCTTTTTTTTAGTGCGAAACAAAATTTTGAACATTTACGGAGGTGTCTACTCCAATCGACTCGACTTCAAAACCCAATTGTTGCAAATAGTTGTGGTTCAGCAACACGCGTCCATCAAAAATCACTGACGGTCGATTCATCAGTGAAAGAAGGTGCTTATAGTCCAAAGTCTGTAACGTAAAGAGTTGAAAAAACAATGGAATTTAATTAGAATTAAAACAGGAATGAATAAACTATTCTCGTGAAAAACATCGTGTGCTAGAGAGCGTCTCTTGGAACAATAAAATTGAAGGGCGAAGAAGTGTGCGCTGGGAGCCCGATACATCCCATCACGAAGATGGATGATTGGAGGTGACATGCAGATGTCCATCTGCCGACAGGATGGCTAGGTTGTTTTAGTTGTTCTATTCATATCGAATTTTCTTAGTACAAAACATGAAAGGCAGACCAGGTAAACATCATAGTCCCGAGAACCTCTTGCTCAATCACGCAAACCCCGCGACTTGAAGTGGAGAAGAAAATAAGCCCTCCAAAAGACAGGTGCGGCATTAAAACGGACGAGAGCTAAACGGTCTACCTTTCAAGTTGGGTCACGAGGTTCGAACATAGAACTTTAGGACCAACAATAAGCCAATGACAGGAGTACAAATCGATTGACCACCACCACTCAACTCAATACTATTATGACCTCAACAGCGGTGACACACTATAAAGCAAACAGTGCGGGCAGGAAACGAATAAAGGGGCAAATGGGCTACAAAACAACTTACACAGAAAACCGATATTCCTTATCTTGTGTTTGTCAGTACCCGTAAATAAGACGAAAAATCGTAAATTGCTACCAATCATAAAAACTGCACGAAGCAAAGATACATAAAATGAGACCAACCTTAAATTCTGGCCATTCAGTGCAAATCACGATTGCATAGGCATTGGTAACCGCCTCCTCGGCCGACGAACAGACCACGACCTGTTTTTGAACTAAATGGGGGTGGAATCGTGAATAAAGTTGTATTGGAAAACATAAGTATGTGAGAATGCCGACCTGACATTTGGTTGTTTAGAACAGCAGAAGGAAGAAACCCATAATGTTGTTCCCCATG